CCATTGGATATCTTTTTCACACCAGATGGTCCTGTAACCACGAAAGATCAATCTCTCCTGAATGAGCGAGGGTACTTTGGCATGTCATGCGCTTGCCAGAAGGTAAAGGACATCCTCAACCACCAGTTTTTCTGACCGAAGAGTATGGTAGGAGAAAAAGAGGAAAACTTTGAGAATGGGGGACTATGCTGGATAAGCTCTCCTAGCATCAGATTAGCTTTAAAACAAGCCATACTAGTCGTGTTCTAAAACAATAACGTATTTCGGGATTGATTTGTCTGCTTTGCTCTATGCTACCTCCTCCAATCTTTCTTGTACGTCATATTACGCAAAGAGCTCATCAAGATATGAAATCTGGGCCTGTATGTTTTCTTCAAAAGGCGTACCAAAGTAAGGTGAAAAGTGACCCATGCCCTTGAGAACAACAAGCTTCTTTGGTTCCAGTGCCTTGTTATAAGCCTCTAGTTGCAAATGGGGCTGTGTCGTAATATCCTGATCAGCAACGATCATCAGCATAGGCGTCGGCGAGATGCGATGGATATAAGCCAGTGGCTCGTGAAGCAGAGCATATGTTAGACTCTGCACCGTACACGTCCTAGACCAGTCAAGTCCTCGCTGTTCCATTTCAACAATAAATGGAATCGACTGTGGGTCTTTGAGAACAGCTTGCGAGGCGCCGCTCTCAAGCTCATCAAGGGAACTGGGGAAGTTGGGGATCTTGGAGGGAGACCCTTCCGCTGTGGCCTTGGCTCGTTCGCCGAGGAGTAAGCTTGTCGACGCGCCTGGCATGCGAGAGAGCCACTCGCCTGAGATGAAGGGGACCTGCAAGATGACGCCAGCGATATTATGATTCACTGCTGCTGCGCAGATGGCGTTTCCTCCGGACATACTAGACCCCCAGTAGATGACTTTGGTAGGGTCTACTTCGGGCTGAGTGACGGCAAAGTTGAAGGCGTCGAAATAATCGCGTGTTTGCAAGGTCGGGTCGACCTGTTCCCGAGGAAGGCCTTCGCTATCTCCCCAGCACCGGTTATCGTAGGTTAGAACACCATAGCCAGCTTTGTTAAATCGTGTTGCAAACTCGGGCAGAAAATGGGATCGCAGTCCTGACCACTACGTTGAAGGATGAGTTAGTGGAGCTTAGAATCGAGAAATGCTCTGACTTACTCCACTTGACATGATAATACATGGCTTTTTCTGACCAACGGAGAACAGAGTTCCCTTGAGCTTCAGGCCGTCATAAGTGGGAATATTAACGTCTTTGTGAGAAGCCATTTTCGCGCGAAAGGATAAATGTGAGAATAACTACAAGTGGTTGGTCTATTAAGCAGAACAGGGTCGATTCAATTCAAGAATTTACTTGAATGCGAAATAACATACAAATAGGTATCTACAATCAAAGAACCCCTCAAATCCAAGCTGAAGGCTGAGTCAAGGCAGTCCCTCGGGAACGATCCCTCGGCATTTCAACCCCATGGCAAATTATATCGCCTGAGCCGCGTACCCCTCGGCGTCAAGAAGGGCAATACACAACAATAATTAATAACTTGATGTCCGAATAAAGCTGTCCACTCTTGAGTTCCTATTTGCTCTATATCGCCCTGTAAACAACTGTTTCGGAATTATCGCAATCACACTAACACCCACTCACCATGTCATTACCCACGCTTGACAAAGCCACCCTAGGCCATGTAGTAGAATTGGCCAAGAATAGGAATATCTTGGCTGGAGCTGCTGCAGTGTTCTTGATAGGCATGATCCCGCGTTTTAACGCCTGGTTAACCAGGAGAAAGGTCAACAATCATCTTACCGACAGCAGTTGGGACTGGACAAAAGAAGTCGTCGTTGTCACTGGTGGTAGTAGCGGTATTGGCAAAGAGATTGTCCTCAAGCTTGCAAAGAAGCACACCAAGGTCATAATTGTTGATTTAAATGCTCCAGGCTATCAACTCCGTAAGTCAACATCACGACTTCTCAGTACTAAACTGACAGGTTCTAGCCCCCAACGTGTCTTTCTGCTCAGCAGACCTCTCCAACCCCAATGAAATCTCCAAAGTCTCCAAGCAGATTGTCTCGGAACATGGCGACCCAACCGTTCTCATTAACAACGCTGGAATTGGCAACGCCATGTCTATTCTCGCTTGTCCCGAGTCCAAGATCCACAAAGTCTTTGACGTGAATATGATAGCACCGATATTACTTGTTAAACACTTCCTGCCTGCTATGATACGAAGAAACCATGGCCACATCGTCAACGTTGGTAGTATGGCTTCTTTTGCTACTCAGGCTTCTAATGTCGATTACGGGTGTACCAAGTCTGGACTCCTCGCGTTCCACGAGGGTTTGCTACAGGAGCTGAGGCATATTTACAAAGCACCATTGGTGCGAGCTAGGTGATTTACGGTGGAGTGCGTGTACTTGTTTTGCAGTGTGACTAATAGTTCATAGCATCATTCATCCGACTTGGGTAAAGACACCGTTGATCGCAGACCTCATCGCCAAGGGGAAAATGAAGGATACCACGATATCTGCAGAGTCTGTCGCTGATGGTGTTGTGAAACAGCTTTATACTGGGTATGGAGCTCAAATCGTCGTACCAAATTCCTCGGCCTGGACTTCTATGATACGCGGGTTCCCCGGTTGGATCCAGGAAAGATTGCGTGACAAGGTATCTGTTGTGCTTCTAAATGCAATGGCGAATTGATGGTGTTGCATGTACGCGTTGGATATATGTCAGTATATTCTACGGGTAGTCATACAGCTGAACTGAATTGAGTCTGGCCAGATATAATTGGTGAAGGCTTAATGGGCTGGTTCCCCATTGCCATATCAAGGGACCGTAATTGACGTTTATTTACTTCTATCTAATGTTATGCTAGGCTTCTATCCCGTGAGCTGAGGAGAATACTATTATCTAGTGGCACTCTGGAGTATCCAAACTCCTGAAACAAAGGGGTCCTGTTATGTGATGCCTGGTCTCCAGCTAACAATCAAATAGCAGATCTTGCCCTCTTTCATGCCCGAAGCTTAATACCCGACTTCCGTGTAGGAGGCTTTTCTCACTATTGGCTTATTCAAGTCCCGATACGTATATCAGGTGCGTTACCAACTCCTGTCCCTCCCTGCACCGTACGAACGGCCTCTCTACGTGAAACCAGAGCTGTCAAACTTTTATATGGGCTTTTTGCCACTGGTGCTCGATTTCCCGCTTCTCAATTCTCCATCCTGCAACTCATTTCTCGTCATATCCTTCAGGGTCTCTCTTCAACCACCAACCTACTTTTCTCGGCCGCTGATGCGCATCTACTTTTCTCAAAAGCTCGCCACACACTATTTCCCATTTCTATAGTTGCCACACAACTCTGAGAATGTCTCTCATAGCTTCACCACCATTTCTCACCACGGCCGCGATGGGAACCTTAAATACGCAGAAGACGAGGGAGGCCCTTCGCACGGAACCTGTACCCTATCTCGGCGAGTTTTGCTACCGCATTTAGCTGTACAGAATTGTACAGAGAAGTAGCAGATGGACATATGCCCTCGTGGCTTATCGAAGGCCCTCCTGAAGGAACGGAAACCGGAGATGAAACCAGCACTCTGCTTGCCAACGACGATGCTGATACCGGCAACATTGACGAGGCCCTTCGTCCTCCTCAGCATGAGCATGAGGCTGTTTCTCCTACTGATAGCAATGAACATGCTACAATTGGTAATGCCAATGATTCATCACAGACTTTCAATGAAGTACACTCTACTGTTGATGTTGGCGGCGCGCCTCTGGCTAGAGATGAAGACGTTTCTGCGGTCAAATCGGAGCCTGACATCAAGGATGAATCCGAATATGAGGATGAACCACAGCCGTCCCCGAATAGCTCCAGGGAACCCATACTAAGACTTAGGTAACTTTGCCTAAATTTAGGATAAGCTTAGGATAAGTTTAGAATACCTTTTAATAAATTTATTCTGACACCTTATATCATTCTCTGGTATTTCTTGCTTTCCGACGGGGACGAACACAACAGTACTCAACATGCATGGTCAGGGCTGTTTCAATAAATTCATCGCAAATTTCCATGCCATTACCACCACTATCGTCACAAGTGCCTAAATATTGATGTCGCTCCATTGAAGTTGTCGCTGAACGGCGGAGTCGTTTCGGGCTTCGCTCATAGTAACAACGGTCCTCCGAATCCTCACCCTCCGAACCCGGAATTGTAACATCCAGGGCTTTGCCACGAGATTTTCCATCCCCCTTCTCTATTGCAGAATGTGCGGTATTCATGGCTCTTCCTGAGGGGATTTTCCTGCCTGGGATAAAGACTCGTATTCTTTACTTACACCAACGCTGTCACAAACTACGCCTGGACCGAATCGAGACACTTTTGCCCAAGATGACACTCGCACGATGCATGGGCTAGTTCACCTCGAATCTGGAGCACTACGTTTACAAAGAATTCTTCCACCTCCATAGGTATGCCCTGATGGCAAACAAACGGGCTCGCGAGAAACGGGGGCAAGCTTGCCTAGCGTTATCTGTTGTCGTAGACATGAACCATAACCTTATGACTTGCGAACGAAATAGGTGATGATTTCCTTAGCGACAATGACGATGATGAGATTGAAAGCTTTATATGGTCACATGAGTTTGAGGCTGACATTGAATTTGAGGCAGCAGCGCAATTGGTGTGTTTTTCGCAGGAACTCGGGAGGGATTCATGAGGAAATTGGAGATGCACTTCCGCAATGCTTCCGCCTGAGGACTATTTGAGTACCTTGGTTAACAATCGGAATACAATCGCGGGAATTTTAACTTTTCGAGTATTGAACTCACGTATACTTTAAAGGTTTTATCTAGTGTTATGATAATTTCAATGGCTGCTCATGTGGAAGGAATGACAAGGCGGCTGGCCAGCTTCTGTATCAAGTTTCTTAGAATTTGCTCGAGTTTGCTAAACTTGCCTAAGTTTGCCTAGGTCCTTTTTATTTAGGCTGAAACATATCTACTCTTCGGGGTCCAGATGCCATGTATCCCCTACACGAAACCCTTCAGGGAAGGGGTCTGTGGAATCCAACACAACTTGCTTGAAGCTTGTTATCCAAGCCTGTCCTTCAACAGAGGGATAAATCGCAGAATACTCCCCAACCTTGGTTGTTCCTTCCACTCGGCCAACAAATTCTGTCCCAGTGATACCGCGATGATAAAAGTTCTCACCCTCCTTCAGCTCTCCTTTTGCATGGAGAACTGCTAGCCTTGCACATGTTCCTGTTCCGCAGGGACTTCGATCTAAGCGCCCGGGAGACACAACGACAGTGTTATTTGCTGCCTTTCCGTCCTTGTACTCATACAGAGGCTCCGTGAACTCGATGATTGTGACGCCGTGAATACCAGGGTTTTCTGGGTGTACTGGGTTGGGTCCGTTTGTTCCATGACTGCTCTCTTGATACGCTCTCCGACTTTGACAAGCCTGGCCCCCTCCGTAGTCTTGATCTTCAAACCAACTGATGCAGCATCTACCAGCACGTAGATCATCCCTCCATAGGCAATGTCAACCTTCACTGTGCCTAGTTCTGGTACCGAGATCTCCTTGTCAGTGGCAAACACAAAAGCAGGTACGTTATGAAACCTGACACTCTTGCATTTCCCATTCTCACACTTCAAATAAGCAGTAACAAGCCCAGCCGGCGCATCAAGCTTGACAACCGTCTTAGGTTCCTGCATCGTCACCATACCCGTTTCCAGCAGACACGTCACCGTCGCAACGGTATTGGCTCCCGACATGGCGGGTACTCTTCATGCTCCATGATGATGAAGCCATAGTCAGCTTCTGGGTTCGTAGGGGGCAAGACGAGGTTGTGGCACATGGCGGAACAGCCTCGGGGTTCGTTCAGGAGAAGGTTCCTGAGGTGGTCTTCATGTTTCCAGAAGTGCATCATCTTGTCGTACATTGTTTTACCGGGAACATCGCGAACGCCGCCGACTACAACGTCGCAGACTTCGCCGCCGCAGTGGACGCCTACTGTGTTGAAGCTGCGCTTGAAGGGCATGTTGAGGAGGTAGAGGACGCTTTGTTGTGAGTAAAGGTTGCTGAATTACTAATTAATGATTTACATATGAAGATCAACTTTACAGTCAAGCTCTTATACAGTATCACAACTCGGAATCAATAACCGTAGGACATCGCTGTTTCTATCTGAGGTTTATCGAAACCTTCCATCATTGGCTGTCAGAGTTAAGTCTGGGACGACCTTCCAGAAAGCTTAGCTTCTCCGCATGTTCGAAGGTTAGCTTAGCCGCCATCAACTAAGGTTCGTGGGGTCTATTAAGGGTCTTATTTGGGGTAAAGTTGAGGGATATCGGTTGGCGATCCGTAGTCGGATGAGACGCTGTTCCGGTTCGGCTTGGATTATTTTAGCCCGAATGACAGAACGCAAGATGTTATACTTTACATGGAAGTGAATGAGGACGTTGAATACTATCAGTTGATTGACATATTTGTCATTGAAGGTCAAACAAATCTATGACTTAAGGATAGAAAGAAGTTTAGGTCGTGTAAACTCATCACTGTTCATTGTCAAACTCTGATGACCACTCAATGTCACAACCCCAGGTTATCACGAGGTCATGCCAAAAATCAAGATCTAAACACCCAAAACTGGCCATTTTATTGAAGATCGCCAGCTTCACTCCTCATTCCCCGCTTCTTGGTGCCTCGGTTGTGGGTATAAGGTGACATTCGGCCTTAATATCGGATGCTTCAAGCTTGGATACAAAATGACTCGCGATACCAGCTTCATATCCCACGAGTTCGATTGCCGTCATTCGTACCTACTTGCATGATGATTCTACCGAGTGTTTCTCGCCTGCTGGCCGTTGGGGCTGGAATTGGTTCTCTATTTGTCTCTGCACTTGATACGACAACTGTAAAGACGGACAACGGTATTGTTAAAGGCTTTACAGATGAGTCTTTTCCTAACGTGGCTCAATTCCTCGGTATACCTTATGCCGAACCTCCAGTTGGGAAACGGCGATGGGCTCCTGCAGTAACCAAAGGGCGATTCGGAGCATTAGATGCAACGCATCAAGGCGCAGCTTGTCCTCAAGCTGAACCATCCAACAGTGGCCCATGGCGCCCTGAGTTTCTGATCAAGCCGAACAGTACAAGCGAAGACTGTCTGTATCTTAATGTTTGGACTCCGTACAAGCCTCGGGGAGGCAACAGGGGAAAGCTCCCGGTATTGGTTTGGATCCATGGTGGTGGTTTTGTCGCCGTATGATCACCCGTTGGTTAACCATCAGTGAAACGGAAGTTGCTTACATTCTTCGTGCAGGGCGGTGGTAATATTGACTACCAGGTGCCTCCCCACTGGGTCGCAAGAAGCCAGAAGCACATAGTCGTCAGCCTCAAGTATGTAAAGAATATCCTTCTCACTTTCATTATTAACCATAAAATAGCTATCGTCTGGGAATCTTTGGGTTCCCTAATGCCGCGGGTCTTAACTCCAAGGAACAAAACTTGGGACTTCTGGATCAACGTCTCGCTGTTGAGTGGGTGCGTGACAACATCTCACGATTCGGAGGAGATCCCAAGAGGATCACTCTCTGGGGTCAGAGTGCCGGAGGTGCTTCTGTTGGATACTATCAGTACGCGTATCCTAAGGACCCAATCGCGCATGCATACATCCAGGATTCTGGGGGTGTCTTCTTACCCATCAACAATGCTGATTCCGCGCACTCCAATTTTACCTCTATTGCAAAGGCGTTCAAGTGTGACAAAGGCAATCAAATTGATTGCCTCCGCGAAACACCATTCAAGGATATCCAGAAGAAGGTCGAGAATACAGCGGGAGTGAGCTTTGTCCCTGTAGCGGATGAGAGAACCAGGTTCTCTGACTACTCGAAGCGTCTTCTATCGTCCAGGATCCCTAAGCTGGTAAGCTCTCAATCGCATTCTCTTACATCAGGTAAAAGATAACCATACTAACGCCTCCCTCAGCCATCCATCATCGGCACAAACAGAGATGAATGGAACTTTGGTGGAGAGCCAGCGGAGCCTCCAGTCAAACCACCACCCGAGCAAGTCCACACAGACAGTACCTTTGGTTGTCCCGCACACTTCGAAATAGCTCTGCGGTCGTCCAACAACGCCCAGACCTGGCGATACATGTATTCATCAAATTTTACCAACATCATGCCCGGAGATGAGGGGGCTTTTCACTCTGCTGAGCTTCCTTTGATCTTTGGAACCCATGATATCGCGCGGAACAAGTCTGGGCCGTTTGAGTACAAGATCAGTCATGCTATGCAGGATTATTGGCTGGCGTTTATCCAGGATCCTTATACTGGGTTGACAAAGAAGGGATGGAAGCCAACGGCTGGAGGGTATGATACGTTGCAAACTGGTGTGGAGTTTGGGTATGACAATGAGATTGTCACGAGAAAGTATTCGTTCAAGTCCTTTCAGGATGGATGTAAGAATGCTACTGCAGTTGAGCAATAGGTAGTCTCACAATTGATTATTAGTGAAGCTGGTTATAAGCCAGTGGAATAAGAGTTTTACAAGTAACATCTTCGCCAAGTTAATGCCAGTTCTTATCATCTCAAGACCATGTCTGTGGTGGATATCGGGTGCCGATCCGTAGTCGGATGGCCCGGCCGGCCGTGGGGTCAAGACCGGCACCATTAACCGGCACCGACGCTGGCCGTTCTGCCCCTCCAACGCCGACTTCGCAGTCATCTACTAAGATAAGCATCAGGTCTATATACACATATCAGGATTCCGTAAATATACACAGCTCTATTCTCCATCATATTCTTCATTCATTGTTTCTGGCACAGCACAATGGCCAGCAACCTCATCGTTCTTGGCGACGCCGAAATCCGAGATCTTCTCATATCTCTGCCCAAAGATGAAGTCCTTCAGTTCAAGAAAGCTCTAGAAAACATCCTCATTGACTTCTCTGTCAGAGGTGAAGGGAAATACCAGCCAACACCAGACTTCGTCAATCGACCGAATGGGCAAAAGACTCTCTTCCGCACATTCACTTCTCCAGACTATGTAGGCACAAAGATCGTGGTTACGCCAGCTCCAATCAAGGGCGCAGATGGCAACACGGTGAATCGCCCACTTGGAGGACTTTTGTCTTTATGTGATTCAGCGGGTGTGCCGACGGGTATACTCAATGCAGCTGAGCCCACGGGCTACCGAACAACACTTTCTGCTCTGATCCCGTGGACTTGGAGAAAGAATACCGAGAACATTGTGATCTTTGGAGCGGGGAAGCAAGGGCTTTGGCATACTCGTCTTGCATTAGCTCTGAGGGGTTCCGAGATCAAAAGGATCACCATTGTGAACCGGTCTGTAGGCCGTGCGAAGGATTTGGTCAAGACAGTTACAGAAGAAAACCAAAAGTACTGGAAGTCTTCTGCCACTCTGGATGTTCTGGATCCTGCTCAAGCTGATTACGACGAGGCTCTGGCATCTCTCTTATCATCAGCTGACGCAGTGTTCTGCACAGTTGGTTCAACAAGCCCATTGTTCCCTCTCAAGACAATATTGGGTGACGGTCAACGAAGCAGATTACCCTTCGTCGGCGCCATAGGTTCATGGCAAGCCGATATGATTGAACTCGACCCAGAAATGCTTCGCCATGCTGCCTCTCGCGACGACTCATACAGCCCTCACGGTACGGAAGGCAGTATTCTTGTTGACGATCTAGAAGAGGCAATGGTCAAGTCTGGAGAAGTGATACAGAGCGGTCTCAAGGGTGAGAGATTGCTTCAAGTTGGAGAGATCTTGGATTGGCTAGATGACGGGTCTGACAGGAAGCCTGAAGGAGGCGTTGAGAAGTTGAAGAAGTGGATTAGTGAAGGCTTCGTCGTGTATAAGGGCATTGGTGTGAGTGTCACAGATCTCGCCGCTGGAAACGCCATCCTGGATCTTGCTAGGAAGAGAAATGCTGGAACGACTATCTCTGACTTTTAGCTTTACAGCGGAATAGACAGAAGCGAAAGTCGCTAATACGCCAAGGCATTTCGGCGACAGACATGCTGGTCTCAAAAGGTACTTTCGAAGCAAAGTCAGTGGTAGGCAACTCCCTATTGGATAGAAGTTAGTTATCTACCAGGATCAATGATATAGAAGTTCATGTCAGTCTGAAGCAACTCTCCTTGATGCAGCCTAGGGGAGGAAAGAAAACTCAGGACCTTGGTCCCAAATGATAAAAAGACTTAGGTAACTTAACCTAAATTTTGGATACCTTTTACTGCATGTATTTTGACGCCTCATATCAAGGTCTAATGTTTTCTTGCTCTATAAGGGGCAGCCTATCTTCACGGCCAAGTATGTACTTAATCCTTGAGAATCCTTTAGAGGCTGGGTGGACCTTATTGCACTACAATATTTTTTCTGTCTCCAACTCCATACTATCCGAGAAGCAACAAAAGGTTCGTTTCTAAGCTATTACATCTGCTTACAATCGCAGCTACAATGAGTTGCTGTAGGTAGGTCGACGATCGGGCTGTAGATCGATCGTCCTGGGGTGCATGTATGACGTCGTTTACCGAGCTTTTCCCGCTAAATCCGCGTCGCTAAACGCTAGCCCGAAAATAATTCATCGTGCCTGGAGAGCTCGTGCTCATAGCTTCGTGAACTTTCAAAGAAGTTCAAATCTTTAGCCTTCGGACACATTCGATCTCACCACATATCGGCGCTTTCTTGGCACCATAGTATACACTTTCGCATTTCGCATATACTCTTGTCAATAACATATCTTGCATCGACCACGCTCATCGACACATCATCCCCGATTCCACACCAATCGATCATGCGATAGCACCCTTAAATACTGACTGACAGAGCGCTCCCCCCGTCGCCCAACATGTCAGTCAGCCCAGCGCCCTCCCTCCAACTCGCGGAGTATCTCGAGAAACTCCCCGGCACGACCTTCCGCAAGCTCTACCAACAACCCTCAACCGCGTTCGCCATCTTCCGTCGCATGCTACCGCACCTTGGTTCGTCACCACAACCACTACACCCGCCCAATCTCTAACTGCCCCCTAGCAAAGACCTTTGTCATGCGCATCCTCTACTCTCCCAAACCTATACTTCTCAGCGATCTAGATGACTGGGTGAAGCCAAGCCACAAGCGCCAGAAGGACCAGGCGTTGTCGATCCTTCGCGTTCTACACATCGTTTCGATCACGGCGCCTTCAAAGGAACGACCGCAGGAAATGCAACTTACTACGAACTTTAAACTATCCCTCCGACTCGCGCTATCAGGCGGCGGCACACATAACTCCTTCGGCGTACCGTCAACACTCCAAATCCCGCCCGAAATCGACATCGCCTTCCTCGACCGGTACGCGCGAAAGAAATGGGAAGACATCCTGCACTTTGTCGTATCTAGTGTTGGCTATAAGAGCGCCGGCGAATCTTCTGGACCGAATAAGAGCGTGAAAGAACTCCTCGTCGCGGGCCGTCTCGTCGATCGTAAAGCAAGCGGCAGCGTTGGTATCACACAAGCTGGTTTTACCTTTTTGCTGCAAGAGGCCAATGCGCAAGTATGGACGCTTCTGTTGCTTTGGCTGGAGGCCATGGAGGTGAATAAGATGGCTGGGCTGGAGGCTACAGATATGCTCTCGTTCCTCTTCGTCCTTGCCAGCATGGAGCTTGGTCGCGCGTACGACACGAATGCGCTGACGGAACAGCGTAAGAACATGTTGCCCTCGCTTGTCGACTTTGGGTTGATTTACATCCCTAACCACAAACGTTCCATGTTCTTCCCGACTCGTCTGGCTACGACCCTCACCTCGAGCAGCAATAGTCTTCGCAGCATCAGTGATGGCGTTGCAGCCGCGACGGCAGCTGCTCTACAGCCAGGGCAATCTAGTGCACCAGGGGGCAGCGTGACAGCCGCCAATACCGAGCAGCGCGGGAGTGTGATCATCGAGACCAACTACCGTATTTACGCCTACACCCAGTCAACACTTCAAATCGCGGTCCTTGCTCTCTTCACCAAACTCGCAATGCGCTTTCCCGACATGGTCGCCGGCCGCATCTCCCGCCAATCCATCCGACAAGCCATTCAGTTTGGCATCACCGCCGAGCAGATCATATCCTACCTCTCCGCGCACGCACACGATCAAATGCACCGCACCGCAGCTCTAAACAACAAACCCGTTCTGCCCCCCACGGTAGTCGACCAAATTCGTCTATGGCAGCTCGAAAACGAACGCATGAAGACAACGAGCGGGTTCCTGTTCAAGTCATTCGAGGATGATAGGGAATACAAGGATATATCAAGATTTGCCGAGGAAGTGGGTGTCTTGGTGTGGAAGAATGATGCAAGGCAGATGTTCTTTGCGAGCAAGCACGAGCAGATTAGAGACTATATGAAGATTCGCAAGAAGACGGAATGAGAATACTTTGGCGAGATGGGAAAACGCAGGGGAGAGGGTAAGAGGTCTACAGCATTGGAGTTTTTGGCGTCGATGGGATATCTAGATGGGCTCACTAAAACGATACTTCAACTCGAAAGGGGGCCCAAGATACGGTTGGCGTTGTATGTGACTGCATTTCAGGCTAGAACCAATGCAATTCGGTTCCCAGAATGTTCAAATATGATCTGAGCGAACGAAGACTTTGTGAATTTTATCCGGCCATGATACAATAACTAAACTCTTCTGCACAAAAACGTCTCGGCATAGGGATGAGAGGCCTCGGGACCTCTAATAAAAACGAAACAAACCCAGGAAAGTCGAATCACTGCATTAAAATTGTCTGGAAATTGTCTAAATAGTCTAAGCTAAGGATTGGTTGCACTAAAGTCATCAAAAGCTGTATTCGGCGGCATACTAAATTTATCATAAGCATTCCCATTCGTATCACAAGGTTACAAATAATTAGACATCAAAAAGAAATTAATTATTATAGCTACAGCATTAGCCGCGTTCCCTCATACCTCTTCAATCATAATACAAACTCGCTAATAAAAACGAACAGCTCAGGCTTCGACACCTTGCGACTCCATCAGGAAACAAATCGCTAACATAGAGGTGTACCACAATGCCAACTGTTGGCTGTAAACATGTCCCTTTCAACTATTATGCACTCCAAAATGATCCTAGCAATGATAAGTGAGGTCAGAACAAAGAACAGCCATGTGTGTCCGTGCTTTTCACTCCCCAAAGAGCGTTCAGTTGATAGAAACCCGCTTCCCGCGTCCTCCAACCACAAGAACTGGCTTCGTCTTTCTGGCGATTGGTAGGCGTGATTCGCTCATAACTGGGAGGCTTCGCCTTCCTCCTTTATTGGGGTTTGTGCCAAAAAGCTTGCCCATCAGACTCTTGTCCTCCATGCGACCCCCCTGAGGGAGGAGTTGTGGCTTTCCCACACGACGGGCATATGACTGCTGCCAGGCTACCAGTGACCGGCGTGCTTCGCTTGTAGTACAAAGGCTTTCAAGGTGTTGGAAGATTCGCAGGCATCTAGCATCCTTATTGCATGGTGGGGTGCGAGGCTTTGTTCCAGTTAGGCTTGTAAGTGCCGATGTGGTGGTGGAGTGGGAGAGGTGAGTCGGACGGGAGTTGACAGCCACGCGATCGGTGGTCATTGCGTGGTACTGAAAGGGATGCCCAGGACTCGAGTCCAAGGCATTGGCCTCTCCATTGCTGTATTCTTCGGCTAGGAAACGATCATGCAGAGAAACAAAGCGCCCGGACCAATATGCAGATGGTTGTGCTGTGGTGATATGGCTGGGGTCTGGTTGCACTTCTGTCGCCGTGGTGCCGGAACTGCTGCTGGATCGAGAAACTAGAGATGCTCGTGATAATCCAAGTCGTGAGGTAGTCGATACGAATAAGCTACTTGTTGAAGATGCAGACGTTTTGCGAGACGATGGGTCATCGGAATCGCGGGAGGAGGAGAATTTAGAGTTGAGTGAAGATCGGGAGATGGATGTTTTAAGATCGCTCAAAACGGCCAATGTTCGTGACTTTGGAAGACGACTTTTGTTCTTCTGAAAGCTGCCCTGATAAGCATGTTCCGGGAGAGCTGACTTTTTATGGTCGGAGGGGGGGATGTTCTCGTCTTGGACGGTGGACTCGAGGCTCAAGTCCTCATAGATGGAGTGGAATGAGCTGGTTGTGGGCAAAGGTTTGATTGGAGCAGCACTCGAAAGGTACTGATGCGAAGATGAAGTAGCAAGGCCGGGCTTCGGGGAGTTCAGGGTTCTCTTTGTTGTGGGCAGATGAAATTTGGTTGCTGGTATGCGGGTCTTTGTTGAGGTTGAACAAGAGGCTGCGTTCAGATTGCAACTCGAGGTCGCAGTCAGTCCAGACCTGGCAACAGTAGGGGGACTGGCAAGTGATCCATGTGCCGAGAAGCTAGCAGAGAGTCGTCGGGTTGCTTTCCTAGCTTCAACGTTTTCTTTGTCTGACAATGGCTCGTCTGAGCCACTGCAGTCTTTGATGGTGGGAACAATGATGAGGGTTTCACTTCGAGTGAAGTCGGGACCTCGAGAGTTCTTGACAGGTCCAATCGGGCCAGAGATCACAGGACGCTTCTTCTTTCCTCGTGAGAAGACATTAGATGGAGTGGGTAGACGAAGTCGAGAAGAGGATCTCTGGAAGCCAGTGCTATTTCGAAAAGCCTCCATTGTTGTTGTTTGTTGTTTTTTGGACGCCTTGCCTGGAAACGTCTGGTTCGGTTTGGTTTGTTTTGATGGGTAGTGGTGAAGTTTTGTCAGTGTCAGTGTCAGGTCAAGCTTTGCGCTTTGCCAGTGATGAACAGTTGTCGACAGCTGTATCTCGTCACCTCTGGCTGCTTGCGCTAGAGGAAGTCGTTCCCCAGGGCAGTTCTTCTCTGTCGTTTAGAAGGGCTACTGCTATTGTTATCCAGGAGCTCATCGTGGTCTTAGTATCAAGTGCCCGTCTATTCTTTATCTATGGCTTCTGATCCAATGCATCATCTGCGTGACAACCATCTCAACACCGTCTACAAATGCCCATTCGTCTCTCCATTCGTACCATTTGTGCTTCCATTACAAAACTCATCATTCCACCCATTGATCTCAAACTCAAACTTGAAGTCGCCTTCTCCCTTTGGTACCGCATTGCCATTTCCATCCCAAAGCGCCCGCTCCACCATCGTTACATTACCCTCCCAATCGACCAGAACCACAGTCTGTCGCTGGGTGCCGTACATGCCAGTCTCGAACCCCATAATAGGTGTTGTGCTTGGGTCGGGTCGACCTTCGGACATCAGCTCTTCAGCAGCTGCTTGATCGTCTGTCCATTCACCGGGTCCTTTCGCCATGGCCGCTTCCATTGCCTTTCGATGCTTCTCGTCACCGATCAATGGGATGAAGACACTCTTCTTGAGCTCGTGGATGTATTCGACGAGATTCGCGTTCTCGTTCCTGGGTAGTGTGTCGTGGCTGAGAACATCAAAGAGGTCTGAAACAAAGTCATCTTTGCTTTTCTTATCGGATACAGATTTATCGATAGCTTCGCGGAATAGCTTCTTGCCCATTGCGATCTTAGGCCATTCCTCCTGGTTCCCTGTCGCATCGAAGGCAGTGTTGCTCAGACCCCAAATCTCACCGCGCTCTTTGGCGACGATAGGCACCTCTTCGACGTTACCCGCCCGGTTGCTTACAATCGCAATACCTTGAGTCTGCTTCCTCAGCTTGCCGCAAACCATGGAGAAGCCGCCGACGCCCTTAACTCCGTCGTTCTCGACCAGTTTGTGGACGCTGTCCTTGAGACTCTCTTCGGGTGGTGTTCCCAACCAGGCGGTGACCATACCGCCGCGGCTTTTGGCAGCATGAATAGGGTGGTTCTGGTCCTGAACATCTGTTTCTCGATAATTGGTGAGCACGGCCATCAGGCCGTCCTTGCTAATGCCCATCCATGTTCCTTTCTCTGCTCGTTGAAGATCCCGTGACGACAAGACTGGTCGACCAGATGTACCGTGAGTCCACCAGTGAGGCCGCGATGTCGGCCTAAGAATGAATTCGTCCCGATTATCAATGGCGATTAATGCATAATCGGGATGCGATGTAGTGAGAAGTACGATGCACATGACTTGGGTGGCTTTCCACTAATAAGTATGTGTGTCTTGCTTTGTTGGAGTGTGATTCGGAGATTTTGTCTGTTCCTGAAGTGGACGTTGAAGGTGGTTGACGCAAGTGGCATTCATAAATGTTGAACCCGTTAGTTGGCTTACAGTGGGGGGGACCTCAGCGCCTTTAAGCTTAAAGACTCCCTAATTAATAATAAAAAAAGTGCCTTGGCGTGTTTGCCTCGTCATGACAAACACGTCAGTTTCCCCTACTACGTGTCGTGTTCCTGAGTTGTCCCTCGGTAAGATAGCGTCCCTCACTTGACTTAGATGCCGAAATGATCTGATGTCGCGGCTCACGGGCTGCGGCGGTCGGCTTCGGGATATCGCCCCTCAGCTCCAGCGAGTTGCGCTGCGGGGAATGGAAACAGCTGAGGCTTAGAACGTGGGATCACAATTCCACGTGAAAGACGCCTGATACTTATTCTATGTATATGAATCCTTGCTCGTTTAGATCGATCTAGATTGCCGGGGGTCTCCGAGTCTCAGATCTTTTCTGTTTGTGACTCTGTGTCTGGCAATCCGTCGCCTTATTTATCGTCATTTGAGATCACACCACTCTCAACAACTGTATATCTTTTATGTTTGGCAATCGAGGGAACGATCATTCATGGGCGGGAGAGTTTTCTGTTTGGTGAAGCAGAATATATTTCCTCTACAATTCGACTGCCAAATATGTAGTTGTTGTTTTTTGCTCTACAAACATCACCGTTGACCAAGGCTATTTTTAGTCACCGGTGTAAGTGCCTATCATTGAACCTCGACAGGGACGCAACTGCATGACACCAGAGTGAAGATATGCTGGGCTTTGTATAACACCACGTTAAATTACACGTTATATTCTTTCTCAAACGAGCTCTTTCGAAACGCGACAGGTATTTCCTTACAACTGCAACAATAAGTACATAAGTGAGGCAGCTGCGGCATTCACAGGCCATGCAACGAAGGTTCTGAAAGGTGGGCCCTGATAGGCTGTCAAGAAAATATGCCACACCCATAAGCTTATCAAAACGTGTTCCTCAACAGCATGAATCTAAAGTTTATGATAGATGCCTGGCAGCTTGTTGATCAATCCCTTGTTTTGCTTCCAATTCGCGCGCAATTTCTGGGGTAATGTAAAGTATAATGAAGCCATGGCATCTCGTCTAAGTCGAGCCTCAACCATATGGGTCCTTATCAATTTCGTATCATGACCATGATTTTCGTATCAAGTGGGCTCTTCATATTCTCCATAGGTAGGGAATATCGATCCTCAATTACATACAGTGCCTCGTATAGTACTTTTAACAATTCCAAGATGGTGAACAAAAAGCTGCTCTTTGCCAGGGCCTCTTTTACTCACAAGAACAGCATGCCGGTCAAACAGGACTGTACAAGGCAGCAGAATTCTCACCATGTCTTTCTGGGGGAAGTTAAAAGGCTTACCCAAAGTCTACAGATGCTCCCATCCATGATCCTGTGTCTCCAGCTCGAAGTGACACGAAACTGTACCAAGGCTACCATATCAGGGCAAATACTCTACTGGTGATCGTCTAGACTCGGCCGTATTAACTCCAAGTACTCTGGATACTTATCTAATTGGAAACAGACTTATTAGAGCAAGTGGTATAAACACCTCGTGAGCCGAAGCATGTAAATGCCATCATGCTCGTCTAACCCACCAAAGTGGTGTTTCTCCTTCCATGCAGTTCTCATCCGAAGTTAAAAGCTTCATTAATCTCAATATCCTACAAACTTTCTTCTCGATCTTTGCGATTCGAGTGAGATATAACCATGGTCGTGTGTAACAAAAGTTTATCCCCGGGGACAGGCGAATATCTTCATCTGCAGCCACCCCCGACTCACTGATGATCAAATACTTTCTCTGATAACAAGCTCAAATAAATCTAATCCCTGTGGCGCAGAGGATTCCCAATCATCTTAGGGGACCATTCGGGGATGTATTACATGCTTTACTCAAGAAATGCGCGCAATGTAGCGGCTTCCTTCTCAGTGGTGATTTTACCTCCAGCTTCACTTGCAAACGAAAGTATACCATTGCCTCTTGTAAATAACTTCCATGAATTGATTTATCTTCTCATCTTCTTATTACAAGAGAGACAATATCCCCGTCTTTGTTATTTCTTCTCTTCACTTTTTATCACATCAAAAACATCTCGAGTTTCTCACTCTCAATCACATTGAAACATTTCTACCAAAAAGTAAGTAGAATCCACCCTGATATTAAACTTACTTCTGATCAGCCCTCAGACATGTCGCCTTGGACACCAATCAACGCTCGGCAGGTGGAAGAGAAGAAGCGCGCTCAAGCCAGAAGCTGCCACTGGTGTGTTATTCTGGGGCCCTTGGAGGAGCGCCGCAAGTACGGATACCCGGAGGGCTGTTGCTGTGAAGACAAGACGCAGCGCCACAAAGAGGAGGAAGCTCCGGTTAAGGCAGAGACGGGGGCAACCGTCGATACAGAGGCAGACGCAGAGGCAGACACAGACACAGACTCAGACTCAGACACAGACTCAGGCACTGACTCAGACTCAGAGGCTACCATGAGGGCAAGCCCTGAGGTTCTTCCTCAAGCGGCTCCGAGGCGACCCGTCGTCAACAAATGGGCAGGCCGCACCAGCAAGGTCAACAATCGAAAGACATGTACCAGGTGTAACGGCAAGGAGTACAACATGAGCAACTTCAAGGACCACGAGAAGGTCCACTACCTGGAAGATAACGGGGTACCAGCCCGTTTTCCTTGTGATGGCTGCAAAGAGCCCGGAAAGTGTCGAGTGGCTCGCTATCCCCAGCGTCTCGGGACGTACGCCTGCATAAGTTGCCTCAGGTCCCATAAACCATGCGGCTTCAATAAGGTTAAGGCGAAGAAGCATGATAAATGCAAACCTGGGGTACATCCTGCTCTGCTGCGCCCAATAAACTAGTACAGCAGTTGGCTCTTTGGTGGTCTGGAGTTTAATGGTTCGCAGAGAAAACGTTTGAAGGATACGAGGAAAGTATCTTTTTGACATTTCTTACTACCATGGTTTATATTGTAGTATACGAACCGTGACTTAATTCAGATGTTCTAACCTTTTTTCTTACTCCATTAATTCATTCATTCTTTACATTTCAATCATTCGGTCCAATTTCTATGCCTCCATTGATCTCGTAGCACCCTCCACTAGACCTGCAGGATATAGCACACCCATATAAACATACAATATGCTTGAGAGTCTAGGACTGGCGTAACCACTGACAGGTTATGCTGTAGATTTTGAATCACAGCTGAGGTACTCTATATAATCAGGTCAACCAGAGTAGTAAAGCTGTATGTCGCAGTGCCAAATCGATGTGGTAATAGACTCGTGCTTTGGTGACCTCTGTATTATCTACTAACCTAGAAACAGAACCTCCGATCTTCCACGCTTTGTGAGAATGGAAACCTCGCGTCCAAGGTATCTAGCTACCAAGACATCTGCAGGTGTTGTCATGGTAAGATAAAGTTTTGTATGCATACTTGTAGAGTTTAGCAACAAGCAAGACGTTTCCACTCATACTCCCTATACGTTAAGCACTTCAGATCTTGAGATATGCTCTAGGATGATTCCAGCTTTATTGAGGCCGGGGGGGTTTAACGTCAATGCCTTACAGAGTGGCCTTAACAGAAACAAGGTCCCAAATCTCAAACTGTTCAACTTCGGCCATGTAAGATGGTGGACTTCTGCATCAATCCATAACCCGGGACTCACCTGGCTGTCTAACTTAGAACCTCGTCCTCTCTGTAAGCTGGCTGTACAACCAATAAGAACTTCTCCAGTTTTTCTGTTACATGACTTGTCTCTTGAAGTTTTACACTCAAAGAAATATTGACAGATCTTGCAGACTGGTACCGGGGATGCAAAGCTATCTTAAGGGACATCCATTGAGAGGTAGATCACAGGGTTGTAAAGCCTTGCTTGCATCCCTGAATGGTGCAGCTCGTGGGTCTTCTCTTGTCTACAGGTGCATCACCGCCGACAAGGCCAACGCCTATAGACTCTTGGCCCTCACCCGGGATTCCCTTGACGTCTGGGGCATCTCTTAGACAAAGTACGAAGGGTGTAGAAAAGGGGGCATGGTAGTGCACCGCCTTGGTGATTCCGCTTCTAATACTTGTACAAATTGCTATCGGATTTGATCATTATATGGTACTTCGTCATATATGTACATGCTTACGAAGGAGACATGATACAAGGAGGAGAGCTGCGACTTGGTTCATATAAGGTGTCATTGAAGTATTTGTCGGCTGAGTGCGAAACCCCAATTATCTTGCTATCAAACATCGCTCTCTGTAGAGAAGAGGTACTACCATTCAAAATACAAGATAATTCGAGAAACATAGCATTGAAGTCGTCAGGCCAATGAGTGGTATAATAGAGACAGGAGGGTGGGACAATCAATATCACACCGTCCTCTTACTCACGGCCAAGAGGTGATTTACGGTCACTTCAATATGGAGGAAATCAGTAAGGGTGGACGTTCGAGACTAGGTGGTGCCTGAGGTATCGTAGTCAAAGCTTCGCAGTGTCCCTTCATCGAAAGGTAATGTATAGGTTCTCGGACGCTCCTCTAAGGCTTCTTGGGTCTTTTTAGACCTACCTCCAGCAATACTGATTTGCCCCTTGCCAATTCACTTGTGACTCTCTCCTCAACACGTTGTGTCCTACGATGCCCTCACATTGGTCGACCTGATAACTGTTCAAGCCTCTTGAGGGTCATCCAGCTTCTGCTATCACCAATAGTCTTCAGCAAACCTGGTCAATCGTTGACTGCGAAACATATCATCAATATGCCAACCTCCATTTACACAAAGGCGTGTCGATATCACGGATATCAACCCGGTCTTCCGTCCCATTTTCTGACATCGCCACCATTCACCAGCACCGTGAATGACATTTCACAAGGCTGTGCCTCTTTCCCCGCGGTTTTGTATTGGTTCCCGACATGTGAAGTGCCTGCCTCGCGGGAGATATTGCCTGGCGCGACACGTTTCGTGTATAAGGAATCTGAGATATCGGGTGTGCGTCATCGTGGGCTCCCTCTTGCGCGCTGCTGCCTATCACATATCCTCACATATCCTGGCGCTTTAGGACTCTGCTCAAATGACTTGTACCAAGCTTTAGGTAAGGCAGTTGATTCGATGGCCGGTTTGACATATCGGTGTGGCTGTGTCAGGGGCTTCAACGATGTGCTGGCCAACTATTCGAGTTCATGAGCGTTTGCGATAAAGTGTGACTCATTTGTGTAGGCTTGTCGGTAATGATCAATCCTTGAGAAAATGTTAAACGGTTGATTTGTTGGGGATTTTGTCAGCCCATATTGAACGGGGGCAAAAGATGCCCAATCGCCAAAGAAAGCATCGAAATTGGGTGGCGGGGGAGTCGTTGATGAAATGACAGGATGGACCTGATTTAGGCAGCAGGGGACACGGTCATTCTTATCAGTCACAGACGAGCAATAATCCATTCAAATGATTCACTTTCGAGGTTGATATCGTCCTACGTCACTTGAATTAATTAGGCTCACAAACTGTCACGTCACGTCAGCCCGATGAGATAAATGGATAATGGATATGTCGATGGGGCCGCATGCGGGACCCAGAAAATCGGGAACCACGGGGTCTCCTGCAGGACCCATCACATGCCTCCCGCTGCCGCTGCCGCTGCCGTTGCCGTGCGCGGACTCCAGCCCAAACCCGAATCGGACCCCCGGTGGCGGACCCGGCCGAGTGGTTGTGGCTGGACCCTCGAAAAACACAGCCACATCCCACGTGGCTAGTGGTCATGCAATGGAGGGGTGCGTGTTGGAACCAGAAAAAAAATCACCACTATCTTTTGAGGCCTGCTGGTCAATGTTGCTATTCTCACGAGCAAATGATGTGTAAGCGCTGAGGTGGTAATAACCTTGGCAGCAGACCACCTCTTCACATGCCATACTGAGGTATCATGATGAATATCACGAACTAATAGACCTTATCACGACCTTCTCACTGACTCCTCCGCTCGCCCTGTTATTTCTATTTGCGAATATTCATTCTGTGGTCTAGGGTTGGTTACCTACTGCAACCGTGCAGCATCGCATAACAACACAGGGCTTCATGTCGACCCCCCTTGCTCTCCTCTTGCCATGCCCTAATCTCGCCATTGGTACATAGCCTATGCTTTTCCAAAACTGAGATGTGATGTGACGTGTGAAAGAGCGGGAACATGTCGTTCTGGTTCCCGAGCTGCAGATTGTGCTAATGCATCCATTGGTCGGATCTCATTTGTTCTACGGCCGGACCCGAAAGGCCCAGCACCAAAACAGCATCCATCCTGTACCCTCGAGGCATGGACAACGCAGACAACACCACCTTTCAAAGAACCGCTGGGCATGAACGCGCCTGAGCCTTGAACTGGAGGGGCTCACCTCACGTATGACTCTTCTCTTCTCCCCTCTCTGCTGTTCTTCTTGTCCACGGGACTACCGGGATCAGACTATTCTAGGCTTCTATTTCGTCACCGACAAGAGGAAAAATTTAGCTATAATACTCCATCGTGATGCAGCACAGCAGGGCGTTGGCGCTCCAACAGAAGACATGTCAAAAAAAGACCCTCTTTTAAAATATGCAATGCATGCAGCTGCGTGTCTCTGCCCTAATGGCCTCGCAGCACACCTTAAGCGCTCTCATGCATTTGGAGAAGAGAATTTTCCAGTGCGAAGGGGAAGAAAAAGCAACGTTCAATCAAGAGTGATCGCCCTTGTCAACCAAAGTGGAGGACGCTATAGCGGGCACTGCATTCTAGTTCCGCGATCTTTAAAACGGCGGTGTTGCTGCGGTGTGCTTTTTGATCGTCGGCGCTTGATCTTGTCTTGTATTAGCGGAAGGGTTACATCTGCAGCGGCTTGAAGTCTAGTCAAAATGTAATGTAATGTATATGTAAATGTATGTATGTGTATATCTTGAGCATTAGAAAACACTAGAGAAGCAACTTTACTGCACGCCATGATACTGGCAACGTGCAGATTTCCTACCGTAGTACACACACACAGTTTCTCTCTCTGAGCCTTCATCAACAACGTTTCACTGAGAGCCGCGATGGATCTGTGGGATCCTGCATACGTCACTATGCGGCCGGCTTCTGGTCCTTGTATACCTTCAGCCTTGGCCGTTTTGCGTCCACGTCGTGAGCTAGGTCTCGGGGAGTTGCAGGGCGAGGGGTCCGTCTTTTTTTTCTCTCTCTCGTCCTGTCCTTGAAGCGCTGTGCTTCCTCTGATAGCGGCCCGTCTTTGCAAAAGGGCCCCGCGATGGTGCATCCCCATCAACGGTAGGCACCCGAGCAACGGGCACCGTCTTTTGCAAGAGTCGGTGAGGAAGAGGCAGAGAGAAAAAAAAGCTGAAAAAAGACCGCCTTGTTATTATAGCGTCCGCAGTAGGGTTGGCTAGGCTGTTGGAGGGGGAGGGGAAACCTGGAAAACTTGTTGCCAAGGGCCATTTATTTTTTCGACTTTATTTTTGGAGGGGCATTGGCTTTGTTGTTTGGATATCGTCGCTTGACGCAGCGAATAGAGGAGAGCTGTTGTGTAAGGATAAGTCAAAGGCACCAGGGTTCTGCAGACGCATATCCGCCATGCAAAAGTCCTGATCAAAAGAAGAGAAGAGCTCATTCTGTTGTTCTATTGTGCCCCTCCATCACTTACACGCCGGGGGTAGTACCCTCTCCCGCCTCCCCTCTATCGTGAAGCTTGATTGATGGTGGTGCACACATCAACGTGTCTGTGTATGTATGTCTGCGTCTGCGTCTGCGTCTACTAGACAAGGCAGTGCGTGTGGTGGATGCCAATCGGCTTCTAACTCGGGGTGCATGGCGGGACCGATATGACGGGGCCGCGGGTTTGTTTGGACATCAATACAGCAAACCAG